CACCACAAAATTATACGGTGTTTTCTTCCACACATCAATGACTACATAAAATATCAATATGTCTTTATACAACCCCAATTCCAAAATAGTTGGGACGAAGTGTAAATTGTGAATAAAATCAAAATGCAATAACTTTCAGATCACATGAGCCAATATCTTATTTACTATAGAACATAGATAACATTTCAAATGTTGAAACTAAGACATTTCACATTTTTACCCACAAAATGAGCTTATTTCAAATTTTCTGGCTGCAACATGTCTCAAAAAAGTTGGGACACATTCAAAAAAGGGCTGAAAAAGCTATTAATATATAAGAGAATCCGCTGAAAGAACATTTATCAAGTAATTAAGTTAACTGGCATCAGGTGTGTGACATGATTGGCTGTAAAACGGATGTCTTAGAGAGGCTGAGTCTCTCAGAAGTAAAGATGGCCAGAGGCTCTCCAACCTGTGAAGGCTTGCGTAAGAAAAATTGTGGAACTTTTAAAAACAATGTTCCTCAACGTCAAATTGCAAAGGCTTTGAAGGTCTCATCATCGATAGTACATAACATCATCAAAAGATTCAGAGAAACTGGAGACATCTCCAGCGTAAGGGACAAGGTCAAGACCTTTACTGGATGCCCGTGATCTTCGGGCCCTCAGACACCACTGCATCACTCACCGGCATGATTCTGTCATTGACATTACTAAATGGGCCCAGGAATACCTCAAGAAACCACTGTCTGTAAACACAGTCTGCCGTGCCATCCACAGATGCCACCTACAACTCTATCATGCAAAAAGGAAGCCATTGTTGAGCATGATCCAGAAGGGCCACCGTGTTCTGTGGGCCAAGACTCATTTAAAATGGATTGTAGCAAATTGGCAAAGTGTCCTGTGGTCAGACGAGTCCAAATTTGACATTCTTGTTGGAAATTATGGGCGTTTTGTCCTCTGGGCTAAAGAGGAGAAAGACCACCCCTCCTGTTATCAGCGTTCAGGTCAAAAGCCAGCATCTCTGATGGTATGGGGATGCATTAGTGCATATGGTGTGGGACACTTGCATGTTTTAAAAAGCACCATGAATGCTGAAAGGTATATAAAAGTTTTAGAGCAACATATGCTCCCCTCCAGACAACATCTATTCCAGGGAAGGCCTGGTGTATTTCAGCAGGACAATGCAAAACCACATACTACAGCAATTACAACACCATGGCTTCGTGGTAGAAGAGTCCGTGTCCTGAACTGGCCTGCCTGCAGTTCTGATCTTTCACTGATTGAGAACATTTGGCGCATAATTAAACGAAAAGTCCGTCAAAGGAGATCAAAAACTCTCCAGTAGCTGGAAGCCTGTATTAAACAAGAGTGGGATCAAATTCCAATGGCTAAACTCAATAAACTTGTCTCCTCAATGCCCAGACGCCTCCACTGTGTGTTAAAAAGAAGAGGGGATGCTACACCGTGGCTACACAGGCCCCTGTCCCAACTATTTTGAGACCTGTACCAGCCATCAAATTTGAAATGAGCTCATTTTGTGGATAAAATTGTAAAATTTCTCAGTTTCAACATGTGGGACCATGATCAAGTCCTGAAAGCCATCGCAGGACCAGGGTTGAGTGGAGCAGCAGGATCCACCCTTCTAAGCAGGTGATCATCTCATTAAAGCTGGGGAGCAGCTGACACCCCTCCCTGAGAAAAGATCTGCAGGGATCCTGGCCTCTGCATGGAACTGGCGGCTGATGGTGGATCTGAGGAAACAGCTGAAGTTCTCCCAGCTCACTGTGGCCTCCACCTTCAGGCCCAATATTATCCTCACCTCAGAGTCCATCAAACAGGCTGTCCTGCTGGAGATATCGGTCCCTTGAGAAGATCACCTGGATGAGGCCTTTGAGAGGAAGCTCACCTCATCTGAGGGGCTGGTCAGTGAATGCAGGTGAGGTGGCTGGAGCACAAGGTGCCTCTCAGTGGAAGTAGGTGAAGGGGCTTCACAGCCTGGGCTTTGGCCAGAGCCCTCAGTATATTAGGTACAGATGGAGAGAGGAAGAGGAGAGTCACACTCAACAGCACTGAAGCAGCAGAGAGAGTCTCTAGATGGCTGTGGCTCTAGAGAGGAGAGTAATGGAGGGTGGAGTCTCTCACTGCTGTCTGCACACAAACTGAGGTCTGATCAGCCTCAGCTGGGTCACCTGGAGGAGAGAGTGTGATGGTGAAAGACCCCAAACACTGGAGGATTTCAGGAACTTCACTGTGTCCAGATGCATTGTAGGATGCAGTTTCACATCATTACATTATTGCTGAATTTTGCACAAAAAAAAAAAAAAAATCAAGTATACTGGCTAATCTTGTAAATCATTAATAGCAGTGGCCATCACAAGTGGGGTAAAAGTTTTTTTTTTAATTAATGAGGAATTGCTTTCGTAAGAATTTAGCAAAAATGTCTGAAGTGTTTGCAATCTGAAATAGTGGAGTTACCTGCCCCTTCCCATACGAGTGATACATCCCTCGAATCACCAGAGAACCTGAGCAAATTTCAACACAGGGTGAACTGGAAAGATAAAATCGAAGAAGAGAAAGATTGATCTCAGCTGGACAGGGCATCAGATCTCTTTACTATAATCAATAAAAACTGCAGTGAACAGAGCACATGTCCCAGCCCTCTATAGACCCACTGCTGTTCACACATCAGAGCTCCTCTAACTGTGTGTGACAGGATTTGTATAGAGGAAGGGGTTGGAAACGGTCATTGCGCTGTCAAACTCGCTTAGATCCAGTTTCTTATCCATTCTGATGTTTGGTCTGAATAACAGCTGAACCTCCTGACCATGTCTGTGTGCTTTCATGATTCACTTTCTTAAAGTGGCCACTGGGTGTAATAATAGAGAGGAAATTACAGGCTGTTATTACACTTGAACTGGCTGGTGCTCTATCGGCCAAAGCACTGATAGTACAATCATGGATACTCAAAAGTTGTAAAAGATTTATTAACAATGAAATAAATTCAATAATATCTTTGGCGATGACTCCGTCCTCGAGGACCCTTCAGTAAGGTGGGGTGCAGATCTGCCAGCGTAGCAGGCAGTGGTGAAGCCGTCCCCCATGTGGAAGGAGGGGTCCTCTGGTCAGCTGGGAGATGATGGGTTTGATGCTGAAGAGGCTGGAGTCAGGAGCTGGTGATGGTGGGTGATGCGAAATCTCTGCAAACCGCAAACAGAAACACGTTATGGGCATTTTTACAGAGGACCGATGGTAACGATTGGGTGAATGTAATTGCTTGGGCAGCCTGTGTCTCGTGATAGAACTTTCTTTTACTGTCAGCCCTGTATCTGCTGTTTGAACAGGAGTATCTCTCTCATAACATCTGAAGACTACAGTGTAAAATGTGAAAGCAGGACCTGTTTGTGATGGTGCAGGAAAAACTAAGCATAAAGGGGTTTAACTTCACTCCCATGTTCTCATGTACATAACAGAGGCCCACAGCAGAGGTTCAGGAGCAGAATCACACCTCAAACTCTCCCCCTCTGCTCTTCCCTGTGAGGCCTTCCTGCTGACAGAGCCAGTTCCATTTAAGTATTTTTAAAATGAGTACAAGTTTACGCCTACATCACCCTCCCACCTCTGTCTCTCTCTCCCCCATCTCTCTCCTATAGAAGTTCCTGGAAGGATTAAGTAGCCCAGGAGCTTCAGTGAATCCATCGCCCAAACCAGAGACTCATTATGCCATCGTCCATAGTGAATGTCTGTCTACTATTTAATTTCTTCAATTGCAAACAACTGCTCAGTAAATATCACTGCTGCATTCAGTTAGTGGTTTGCTTGTGTGGTTCGCTGCTAGTGAACTGGATATAAACAACTCTGTAACCATTAATGTTTGATTTTACGGACTCAGTCATCACTGATATTGAAACTTTGATCTGAATGTGCGTCATTGATGAATTTAATTTAAAAAAAAAACACCCTATTTATTGAATCTCAACCAATGCAAACTAAATCAAATCCACCTATTTAAAAGCGCAATAGAATTAGCAAAAATATTCAATTAATGCCATAAATTATTTCGGGGAAAAAAATAACAGTAGACAGCACATGTCCCAGCTCTCTATAGACCCACTGCTGTTCACACATCACAGCTCCTCTAACTGTGTGTGACAGGATTTGTATAGAGGAAGGGGCTTTGCATACCTGTCCTGCCTCACTGCTCCACACACTTTAAGACCCCCAGTACTGATCAGTGACTGTCCAGTCCTTTAACAGACACTGACACAGGCAGCATTATGATGATGTCAGACTTTCTACTGCTGGTGATGCTGGGACTCCTTATACAGGGTGAGAAAGATTGACTCATGTTGATATGGGGTTTTGTAACATTATAAATCATCTTTGCTGACTTATTATGGCATAAATATTTCACTACTCAGCCTCTATAGTCTTGTCAGAATTTACCATAATTATTAAATTCTGATGGATGATATTTATGTGTGTTGACATTCACTTTCATTATTTTTCTTCTCCAGGATCAACGGCAGATATAGTTGTGACTCAGTCTCCAGCAGCTCAGGCTGTTCAGCAGGGAGACACTGTAACCATCAGCTGTCCAGCCAGTCAGAGTGTTTACAATGATGGCTATTACTACTATCTCAGCTGGTATCTGCAGAAACCTGGTCAGGCTCCTAAACTTCTGATTAAATATGCCACAACTCGCCAGTCTGGGATTCCTGATTGTTTCAGTGGGAGTGGATCTGGGACTCAGTTTACACTGAAAATCACTGGAGTCCAGGCTGAAGATGCAGGAGATTATTACTGTCAGAGTTACCATGAGATCAGTGGCAGTAGTAGCTGGGTGTTCACACAGTGTTAGAGAGCCGTACAAAAACCTCCCTCAGTCAGACTGCACAGAGACTGCACTGCTGCAGCTGGGACCTACTGCAGGTGCTGAGGGGGGAGCCACTGATCTGAAACACCTTAAATAAACTAAGTGACTTTGCGCAATAACATCTCTCATGTTCTCAAACATAATACGCCCGGTGGCGCGGTGGTTAGCACTGTTGCCTCACAACAAGAAGGTCGTGGGCTCGAATCCGACCTGCAGCCTTTCTGTGTGGAGTTTGCATGTTCTCCCCATGTTCGCGTGGGTTTTCTCCGGGTACTCTGGTTTCCCCCACCCACAGAAACATGCATCCTAGGAACACTCCTTCCGGTACCCCTGACCAAGAAGTTGGCTTTAGAACTGGAGTTGGTCCCCGGGCGCTGCTCTGTGGCTGCTCACTGCTCCCAACTATAGGATGGGTTAAATGCAGAGGACAAATTACCCCATGGGGTTCAATAAAGTGTATCTTATCTTATTTATTCATTTCTTGAATGTAGACCGTTAGCGGAAAGAACAAATTTGATCTAATTTTTACAAATCAGTTTTTTCGTTGTCTTTAGACAGATTGCAATCAGGTAAGAGGACACTATACTCAAGTGGACTGTGAAGAGATTAAAGACCATTTAGAGAGGGGGGCAGAGTTCTGTAATTGTGATATACAGTAATTTGTGTGGGGGTTGGTGAGATGGAGTTGGAGAAGTTTATGGATGTTCAGAACTGTTGTAATTCAGCAATGAGTGATACATTTGTTTACCTACTTAAATGGAGTTTAATCCAGATCTGATCCTCTCTGATAAAGACAGAGGGAGGGAGGAATGCTCTTCCACTCTCTGCCAGGGCTCCCCCTGCTCTCTCCTAAACTCCTGATTCAGGAATATGTTCTCTAGAACCACCACTTTCATTCTTGATTCATCAAACATCATTCTCTTGTTTCCTCTCTTTGATGTATGCAAACAGAAAAGCGTTTTTTTATCATATTGCAGTAAAACATTGTTGCATAGTGGTTACCATGGCTACCAAACCCACCCACCACTCTAAATAGGTAGTGTGGAAACGAGTCGTGCAAAAAAGGGTTAACAGACCATTTCACTAAACAAAACCACAATTTTTAGGATCATTTTAGATGAGTTTGATTAACTTATCCTGGTTTGAACCTCCCAAGAAAAACACCCTTTTCCCTACCTCTCACAAGCTGAAATTACACTCTCAACCACAGGGACAGACAGAATGCCATTTTGGCTCCTCGCATAAAAGGGCTGAATTCTAAGAGGAGTGAGGGAACTACAGCCTGGCATCAGATTTGGCCAGAGCCAAATGGTCCACAATGGTAATAGCTCAGTGGGAGGGGGTCAGTCGGATCAGCATCCCCAATCTCATCACACAACAGTCAATTTCAAAGATGAAAATACTTTGGGGCTCCTCTGTTGCCGAGGACAAAACATGAAGGTGATCAGTGAAAAAGATGAGGGAGAAATATTCCTTCTACAGTCATCCCTGTATTTCAGTCAGCAAACAGGGACACTAATAATACATATCTGAGAACTACAGAGCCGCACATGAAAACAGGAAATGCTTGTAATTATAAACAGAAATATTTCCCATAGCAGCCTCTAACTTGATTTATTTCATATGGATGAGATATACTGAGTATGAGAAGTGCATGGGAAAAGACTATCATGGAATATCTTAAACACGATTCATAGAGTCTGAGCCCATATGCAGTTATTCCTACACAAGTTCAGAAAAATACACAGATATGTGAATAAATTTGTGGTTCAGCAGCTTACAATGCGCATGAGCCAGCCCTCTATAGACCCACTGCTGTTCACACATCAGAGCTCTAACTGTGTGTGACAGGATTTGTATAGAAGAAGGGGCTTTGCATACCTGTCCTGCCTCACTGCTCCACACACTTTAAGACCCCCAGTACTGATCAGTGACTGTCCAGTCCTTTCACAGACACTGACACAGGCAGCATTATGATGATGTCAGACTTTTAACTGCTGGTGATGCTGGGACTCCTTGTACAGGGTGAGAAACAAGGATTCATTTTATGATTTTTAAATTTACATTTTTCCCCCAAATTGTTGACATTATTTTATAATCACATATGTTGCAATAATGCACATAGGTTGAAATAATTTATCTGCAATTACATATATTTCAATGTTAATCTTTTTCAGGATCAATGGCAGATATAGTTGTGACTCAGTCTCCAGCAGCTCAGGCTGTTCAGCAGGGAGACACTGTCACTATCAGCTGTACAGTCAGTCAGAGTGTTTACAGCAGTGGCTCCACTCACTACCTCCACTGGTACCAACAGAGACCTGGTCAGGCTCCTAAACTCCTGATATATTATGCCACAAGTCGCCAGTCTGGGATTCCTGATCGTTTCAGTGGGAGTGGATCTGGGACTCAGTTTACACTGAAAATCACTGGAGTCCAGGCTGAAGATGCAGGAGATTATTACTGTCAGAGTTATCACTACATCAGTAGTAGCTGGGTGTTCACACAGTGTTAGAGAGCCGTGCAAAAACCTCCCTCAGTCAGACTGCACAGAGACTGCACTGCTGCAGCTGGGACCTACTGCAGGTGCTGAGGGGGGAGCCACTGACCTGAAACATTGAGAGGTTCTGCTCTAAACACTGAGCACTTTGCACAATAATAACTCAGATTTTCAATTGTAATTGTGATAGTTTTAGAGGATGGAAGAAATCACCATGATAGTAGCATCTTGGCTTAAAAATTATCATGAACTGACACAGGCAGCATTATGATGATGTCAGACTTTCTACTGCTGGTGATGCTGGGACTCCTTATACAGGGTGAGAAAAATGAAATTCATTTTATTGAACCTTTTCACTGGAGATGTAATTATTTCAAATTAAACATGCTGTGGAAATTCATTCTGTTTGACAAGGTTTATGTGCATTGATATCTATTTCCATGTTTATCTTTTCTAAGATCAGTGGCAGATATAGTTGTGACTCAGTCTCCAGCAGCTCAGGCTGTTCAGCAGGGAGACACTGTCATTATCAGCTGTACAGCCAGTCAGACCCACACGGAAAGAACCTATATAAACATATAGGTTTTAATATAGGGCCAGATATAGGTTTCGCATATATGCCACATACATAAAATTGGCCGTTTTCATAGATTATATGTAAATATATGTACATATATGTGCCCATTATGTACAAAAATGGCCAATTAAAACTCATATATAGTTCATTATTTAGACATTCGCAATCCCACCCGAATCTAGTATATCCAAGTAGGGTTCTATGGACGAGTTCATACGCTCCTTCACGCATGCGATTTCTTTAGGACATTTAAGGAAAGTGCACTTATTCCATAAGCATTCGCAATTGTCTGGCACATCGCAATTTCATGACAGCTTGCAAGCTCAGAACAAAGGCAGAACCTCAGTAAGATTAAAAAACAGATCAGAATCTTATTTATCAGCGGCCGTCTAGCCAACAGGACGCGCCTAGGGGAATGTACATAAACCCTTCCCAGCAGGCCCTTCGCAATTTGCATCCCTGTAGCGCATTGGCCAATTGCGCGCTACTTCTGAGAAGAGCTGCCGACTACAGCTGGTTGATACAAGGCGGGGATTAAAACCTATGGGTGCGTCGAGCGCGTCTGCAAGTAAGCCGGCTGCGCGAGATTCCCGAAAAATTACGCGAGAATCTCGCCGAAGTTGCGCGAGAAGCCCTCCAAACCCTGCGATAGCTACAAGATCCTGCAGCCATCGCCGGGTTTGGAGGGCTTTCAAGAACCGTGAGATTCTCCTGTTAATTTCGGGAATCTCGCGCAGCCGGCTTACTTGCAGACGCGCTCGAACGCACCCTGTATGTTTATATATACTCAGTGTTAGGAAGTCAGATTGATAGGGAGAACACACACTGATTTTGGAGGCAGTGGGATTACGGCTGATGGGGGGGGCGTGTCTCACGCATTATTGTTTTAAGTGAATTCAGGTGACTTTCCTGAGAGAGAGTGTGGTTCTCAGTTTTTTCTTTGCCTTAGATCTGACCGAAAGCACGCGGCTGGTAAAAGATTCCCCCTTTCTGGACTGTGTTGATTTATTTCTTTTTGCGGACAATTTAGTTTTATTCTAACATTAAAAAAAACTTGAACGATGGGAAGACGGTGCGGGAGCTGGTCGCTCACGAAGAGCCATAGACGGAGCTGGCCGGGAGAGACGTGGAGTTAATTGGGAAATCCCTGGTCGGCTGGTTCTCTTGCTGCCTCCATTTAGTTACATACAACATTTCCAACACCCCCATATAGATCCAGTTCAAGTTATTATCACCACACGCACGGTATAGTTACATTCAGGCCCCAGCTGATTTACGCATTAGGATCCCCTAGGCTTGTAATTATTTGTAGTAAAATCTGATAGGTTGGCATTGGCATCCTTTTTTTTTTTTTTTTTTTTCACTTTGACGTGTGGCGTGCACAGCATTTTGGGAGGACCGGCCTGAGTTCGTAACATCAGCAAAAAAATTTAAGGGCCACTGAGCTTTTTCTTGATTATTTTCTCTTGTTGTGAGCTTCCCAGGACACTGTCAAGCTGTGGTGAGAGCAGGTGGTGGCCACACAAGATATTGAAATGACTTTGGACATTGTTTGACATTTTGATTTAATGATTTGGGCTTAGTGTGATTCTGGTCTTCCCTGGGAATGCCCTGTTTTGTGGGTAATAACATCATCTGATCAAATGCTTTGATGCATTTTGTCTTGGATTAACACAGATGACCTTGAAAACGCTTGGGATTTCGGTTCAGTTTTTACATTTTTGCATACTTGGGTGAAAATCGAGTGTTCCTTAACTTTTTTTGTTGAGTATAGGTTCTTTCAGTGTGGGAATTTAAGAATCCTTGTTATTTCATCCCTGTTGGAAAAAGTCTGGGACCTTTTGTTGATAAAAAAGCATCTCAAATAAAAGACAAGTGTCTGTTCATTAAAACTGTGAACAGAAATGTAGACTTTGTCTTCAAATTCAACACAGTGAAATGCTCAAATATACGTGGGGATAAAAATGACTTTTGAAAGGCATGTTTACTTGAATGTATGTTCTTCTGTGTACTATTATTTTGTTATTTTTGTTTTATTTTGCTACATTTAGACTAAGGACCTCTGAGCCATATTCATGTAGAAACTGCATTACAGACAAGATAGAAAACATTGCATTTGGTGGATGTAACAGTGTAGTGTA